GATCAGTATAAGAAGAGAAAAAACTTAAAAAGGTGAATCTCTTATGAGCCAATACTGATTAAAATACACCAATTATTTCAAGTGTGCAATCAAATTTATTCTACCAATTATCAAACACTTATTACAAATAAACGTAATTCCTAGCTGGATTCCAATTACTCACGATTAGAAATGCCAGAAAACATCAAAGCCGGAAAGAAAATTGTAAATGAATAACAGGTCCAAGCAGAACCAGGTCGAACCTTTGCGTCATTTCTGCAATGCTTGCAGGAAAGCTTAAGGTGGACTGATCTCGCAATGCCGGTAGACCGGGTTCGACCGAGCCCGAATGCCAAGTGTGTGGAGAGGAAACTAAGCTTTGAAGTCGGTAAAGTGAAGGAGAAGGAGTTTAGAGGGAGCTTGTGCCTGTGAGAGAGAAAATTCGAAGAGGATAAAGAGAACGCCATGAATGGAAGCTGATAGAGGAAATGAGAGGGGTTTTGGCGCGCCTAATCTATAGGAGACATCCACGTGGATGATTTTGATTTGGTGAAGTTTGGTGGAATTTTAGATAAATTTTTTAATGAAAATTCATTCTTATTGAAATAATTTATTAAAAAATTACATCTATAAAAATAAAATTACCAAACATTTATAAAAATTAGTATGTGCCCTTCAATATTTTTAATTTATCATAAATTGTTAGATTCAATTATATTGTTGTAAATTTTGATTTTTTTTTTTTTGTGTATATCCACTCACTTATACATTGCATGAATTATTATATTATGTTTACTTTTTTATTTGCATGTTATGTGTAAATAAAAATACAAATTTGAAGTAATTATTCTTAATGTCATATAAATTATAAGTTAACATTTGTAAATCTTACTAGTAAATTAAAATATAAAATTAAATAAATTATTAATTTAATCGTATAATTATAGATTATGTTGTACTTAAATCTAAAATTTGGGTTATGAACTTTGAGAATTATATCTTTCTATATTAAGTCTTTCATTTTTTGTTTCAGTATATAACAGTTATTGAATAATAATTTTAGGAATTCGAGTGGTATGTGTAAATCTGAATCTGAGTCATAATATTTTGGTAAAAGAGTATATACTATCTTAATTAGAATTGTAAGAATTTATTTTCTATCGAGCATAAGTTTAAGTCCATTTGTACAACTAAAAACAAAAAGAAATTAATGAATATTGTATTTGCTTTGACTCATTTTTTTCTTCTTGCTTTGAAGTAGGCCTTGCTAAAGATTCTTATAGACGAGTATGCAAGCATACATTTCACACTTGTTTGAATAATAGCGATGTAATATTGCTAAAAATAATTAAGAATTACATAAGAAAATATCATTCATTTGATGAAAAATAAAAAAAGAATATCGAAAACTCAAATAGCTAAAGTTGAAGTAGTTACTTTCAAAGTAACATTAAAAAAAAGTTGCGATTGGAATGTGAGAGTTAAAGTTGAAGAGAGGATTCATCACTTATTTATTTCATTCAAATTGGAATATTTTTCTATAATCACTTTCAGACAATTTTATTATATTTAAATATAAAAATTATATAATACATAACAGATCTAGTAAGCGTCTATCTCAACTACATAAAATAATAAACATATTATTTTTATTATGCTAATAATTATCTATATAAGGAAGAACTACGCTTGATTGTAAAAATGACAATAAATAATTTAAGTTAAGATGGATAACTAGACTCAAATGACGGTAATGTTAGAAATTTATTTTAAAAAGAAAAAAAGTTAAGTTACTTAATACTTTAAAGAAGTTCATATAATTCTTAAATTCTATACTTATTTATTTGATAAATTCTTCACTTTTTTTAACTAAAAGATAGGCGAAAAAAATTAGGTATAAGATTAAGTTTTACTCATCTTCTTCATCACAATTAAATATTTGGAGTTATATAATTGTTTTAACGTATACATTTTCTTATAAATTTGTTCATAAAAATACAAAAATTTATATATTTATTATTTAGGTAATATAAAATAATTTTAAATATAATACCTATATTTAATGTTAATTAGAAATAATAATTGAAAAACTATAATGAATTATTCCTAGAATCATTTTTAATTATTATTTATTATTTATTATTATAATTTATTTTGTTCAAAAAAAATAATTTAATAAATTTATTAAGAGATGTGTGAAATTTTTTTATAAAAAATAAATATATACTAAATAAAAAAATTTATGTGAAAAAATTGACATTTATATAAAATAATACAAATTAAAACAATTTTATAAGTTTAAATATTAAATGATAAAAAAATTTCCATACCATAATTCTAAGATAATTAATATATCAAGTGCTTCTTAATTGTTCAAATATGTATGAACCCGAAATTCTAACTTTCCGAACCGACCAAATCGAAAAGAATCAACCCGGGACACATTAAACACAGAGCAACACGCGGATGTGTTCGACGGTCAATCAACGGTCATGATGATGAT